TTCCAGGAATAATGTAGAGGGGGAAAAAAGTTCTACTCATTCCTTCAGTAATGAGATGTTGGGGGGGGCAAGGTTTTAATCCCTTTTGCTTTGGCAGGCTGCAAACAGGACACCAGATGGGAGATATTTAATAAATAAACACTGCAAAGGCTCTGATCCACCTATAGCCAAGTCCTGACTCAGCCTCCTCTTACTGAAATCACTTGGAGCCTGGTCAAGTACAGATAAAAAGCTCATTTCAGCGCTGGATCCCAGCTGAGCACTGCTGCCTCCAAACTAGGTTAGGAACCTGCTGCTGGGAGCCACGGCAGTGTGAGAGGTCAGGGCAGCTTTGCCTTGAACTCTCTTCAGTCAAGTCAGCCTAGACCAGTCCATTTCCTTGCTTCCAGCTCTGGAAAACTTGTAAAGCTGTTCCAGCACCTGGATGTCTCTGCTCTGCCACTGCCCTCTTGACATGCTATTTTTCCCCTAAGACTCTCTTTCCTTCCCAGAGTTAACTGGAACAGTTATGGGGGACGGCCCCTGAACAAGGTGAAGCCTTTGGTGTCAGGTACAGCTGCTTGATGTCAAACGTGCACTGACACAAGGTGGGCTGGCTATGAATCTCAAGTGGAGGCTCCAAAATCCATTTGACCCAGCCCAGCAGGACTGTCCAGCAATGGGAAGGTTTGGTTCTGGGGTCTGATCCTTCTCTGGATCAGATGGATGCCTTGTCAGAGCAGACAGAATGCCACAGGCATTCAACTGGTGTCAGCAACACCATGGCATGCCTGGGCTTATTGCGTCAAATCATGTTACATTAATAATTGATATTTTTTTATTGCATTTGCAATAAACACTGCATAGAGATTGTTGGTCACTGATTCCTCATCAGTAAAACTCAAATTTTGGAATCACTCATGCAAGTGGCTGGGTCAGTGTGAAAAGCATTTGGAGCAAGGGAGGAGCCCGGCTGCAGAGTGACTGCGGCAGATGCCGGAGGCCAGGCAGCTGATGACAGCACTCCGGGGACAGTCCCGCACCTCCGGCCGGGGCTCCACGTGGTCCGGGATAAGCGCAGGGCACTGCTCAGAAACAGGAGCAGCAGAATGACCAAACCTGCCCCTTCAGTCAAATCTCCCATTTTAGAGGGACACCAGAGCACCAACACTGTGCACATAAACATCTCTGCTGTTCTCACGGCACAGTGCCTCTGGCACTCCAGGTTTTGGAGCTTATCCTGAAATATTTGGGGAGCGTGTGGTGTCAGAGCCATCCTGCAGCAGAGGTCTTTGCAGTGCCACTCACGCCATCAAATGCTGCTGGGATTTTTAACACTGTCGCCAGCTAAACAGCCACAGCATTGGGCTCAGGGCTGAACTGCCTGTGTGTCCAAAGGAAATGACACCTGGAAGGTGGACACAGGGTAAAAAAAGCATTCCAAGCAGCTGGCAGCCAGCAGGTTATTCCATAGGTTGTTTTAAAAATAACAGAACAGCACAAGGAGGTTTGCACGCTCTTGCCATGTCTCAGAATATGCTTCAGAGGATATTTTACTGAGACACTTTCTCCACACTGGTTATGTGGGGTATGGCCTCATGGTGACTTCACCTGCACTTTTACCTTCCCCTTCTCCTGGGACACCAACCTGCTGCTCCAGGCACTGGTTCCTGCAGGGCCATGTATGGTGTGGCTCCTCATTCCACAGGACTTTCTGAAAAACTGACTTCAATCTCTTCAGAGAAACAGAGGGATGATTGTGTAGCTGCAGTTCTCAGTTAGCAAAAGAAGTTCTTTTTGCCTGATTCTAAATGTGGGTATCAGTGCCACAGTCATGAGCTAGCTCATCACTCTCGTGTTATTATATACACTAAATAGGTAATTATTGGAAATCTCATCACCTAATTATAACAAATCAGAATGGACTGAGCATCTGGAACCAGTCAGTATGATTGCTTCTGCTCACTCATTTTGCTGTAGAAGACTGCATATAGCTAATTGAGCATAGACACGCTCTCAAGAAAAAGAATGACAGTCAGCCAGCAACTGCATCAGTTCTCTACCCACAGCTCCAGCCCCTCTGAGGAAAACAGTGCAACAACATAGATTGCAAATTTTGATTTGTTGTTTTGTTTGGTCTTAAAAGGATTTGGCTCTTTGTCCAACACTCTTAAGGACTGTCTGTGTTAGAAAAGACATATTGCTGAAACAACAGACTGCCTTCAGCAGGGAGGGCACTGGAGCTCCTCTGAGCACAGCTATTCACAAATTGCTCTTGAGCCTTGGGGCTTTTAGGGCAGACACTGGACCTGACATAAAATTGCATTTTCCATGTGTGCAAGAAATGCAAAGACTTTGTGCTTCCACCTTGTTTTCTGTCTCCTTTATTTTCTCTAGGAAGTCCTGAGCCAGGAATCAGTGTCATGCTCCTGACTTTTGTTCTCCAAATGCAAGACTATCCTTTGCCTAAATGTCAAACTTGCAAAACAAGAATTACAAGTTTTATGAAGATACAGCAAGCCAGATTAATTCTTGAGGCAAGTACACAAACTAAATGCTGTTGAAAGACTCTCTTACTATCTGCTGGGGGAGAATTTCCTCCATTATAATGAAACATAACTAAAAATATCCTGTGTTATAACACTGGAGCTGAACGTGAGGCAGTGCACTGAGAGGGGATGATTAATTGGTGTGTCACCAGCACTAACACTTCTTGAGCAAAGCATTTTCACTCACTGCTGCACCCTGGTTCCACTTCAGCTATGGAAGAGTCCAGGGGATGGTTTGAAGTTCTTTTAGATAAAGAGTTTTGATTTGCTCAGGGCAATTTATCAGCTGTATCAGTCACAAAAACTTTTTTATGACAGTAAGTCTACAGGTGCCACCGAGATTAAGCTTGGAGTTTCCTGGGGTCATGGACAGTCCCAGAAGTACAACCAGTCAAACACAAGAAAAAGTTAGAAAAGTTTTATTAGAAGAGATTTGTCAATCTGAAATTTCTGAGTCCTCTTACAAAGACTCAGAGAGAAGCCAGGTTTCATTACTTCAAAAAAAGTAAAGATTTGATGAAAAAAAAGAAAAAAAAGATGATATATTATTTTGTTTCTGCAGTCTTTGTGAGTGACATTGATCTGTTGCTTGGGTTTTTTAATGCAGTGAAAAAGTGATGATTTATAAGCTCTGAGCACTTTCTTAGCTCCACATACTATTTTTCTTCCCTTTTAGCACCTGAAAACTGCAGTAATTGATTGAAACAAAAAGTGGGACTACTTGTGAACAGGATTGTAATGTATCCAAAGCAACCAAAGGCCATGAAAATTATGTTGGACTAGGACTATGACAGTAGAGATTTGAAAAGTAATTAATAGCAAGAAATGCTGTTACTGGGGAAAATGCTATTAGGAGTTCAAAGCCCGTTGGCCACACCGATGTTTTACAGAGAGGCTCATCCCTTTTCACAACTCGGGATGGGTTAATTCTGTAGAAAATACAACATGTTATAAACACACCACACAGACACGCAAACACAGCGCTCAAAACACAAATAAACCCAAGTCCATCTTAAATGAGCTGCACTTAACAGGGAGGAAAAGACACATGTTGTTACTCATAGTCTAATTAAAGAAACTTAACAGTGCTATAATATTAGATTTACAGCTTGAGGAAAGGTCAATCCAAAGTGTGTGCACGATGTGCCTCTCACACATTTCATTCCTGAGCCCGGGGGCTCGGTGGGGGTTTCTTGTACCTGAGGAGCAGGAAGGGAAAGACATTTAAACAAAACGATGACAACTAATTGTGGGTAACGCTGGTGCGTTGTACTTGATGCACTACCCATGTGGGAGTGCAATTTGGGGCAGTAACTGGTCACTGATTCATTTACAAACTTCCCAGGCAAAAGGGAGACTTGTGTAAAACACCCTCAGAACGCTGAACTAAGCAGTAACATTACTTCTGAGCTGCTCGTACGCACACAGGCTGAGAGCAAATTCTGCTCAGCAACTCGAAAACTTTTCCCCGGCAGTCTCTGGGCTGTGGCGGTGCAGCCCACGCGGGAGCCCTCAGCGCTGAGGGAGCCCCGCAGCCCTCACGGCCCCGCGTCCTCCATTTCCTGCGCCGCGGCGACGCCCGCGCCCTGCCAAGATGGCGGCGGCGCCTGAGGGCCGCTTGAGGGCGGGATGCGGCCGCTGCCCGCTCCCCTCGGCCCCATGCCGATCCCCAAGGCCGCTCCACACCCGGGGGCTCTGCCGAGCGCGGCACCGGCGCCTAGCGGCGTCCGCGCGGGGCGGCGCAGGGAGCGGGACGGAAGTTTGAGGGAGTCCCAGCTGGCGGAGGCTGCCGGGGGACGGGGAGGGGGCAAATCCCGGGCGGGCAGGTCTCGCTGGGGCGCGCGGGGTTTCCCGCTGGAGGCTTTGGGCTGCTCGGCTCGGCGCGGGAATCCATGCGGGACAGAGGAGCAGGGCTCCTCGGTACAACATGGAGTCAGCCCGCGGAGCGGAGTGGACTGGACTAGGCCGGGCCGGGCCGGGCAGCGATAGGCAGGGAGTGAGGCGGGCAAGGGCTCCAACGCTCCCGCCGGCCACTCGGGTGTGTGCGGTACGCGCCGCCGCTGCCGGGGCTGCGCAGTGCCCGGGTTGCGCTGTGCGCGGCACGGGCAGAAACGGGAGGTGAGTCACGGGGAAACAGCGCGAGCACAGAGCCGCCATGGCCTCCGTGCCCGCCCGCCCCCGGTCAGCGCGCGGGAGGCGCGCCCCGCCCACCGTCCGGCCGCCACGGTTGGGTGTCCCCGTCCGCCGCTCCCATTGGCCGCTCCGCAGCGCCGCTCTGCGCCCATTGGCCGAAGCGGGCTCCGGCGAGCCGTGCGCACAGCGGCGGGGCGGGGTGAGCCGACGGGCCGTGTGCACACCGCGTGTGGCGCAGGCAGGGGACCGGCGGGGCCGAGCGGAGCTGAGTTGTGCGGGGGCCGCGGCTGCGGGGAACCGGACCGCAGGTACCGCCGGGGGGTCGCGAGGGGACCGCAGGGAGGCGGCCGGGGGTCCCGCGGGGCCCCGAGGCGGCAGCGAGGGCACTGCGCGGGACGGTGATTGCGCTGGCGCACTCCGGCCTAGCGCGCGGGAAAGTACGGCCGGGCGGGCGCCGGCGCCATTCCCGGCCCTGCGGCGCGCTGGGGAGGCCGTGAAGGCCGCTAGAGCCGTGAGGGCCGCGGGCCTGGAGAGGGCGGCGGCGGGTGAGTCAGGTCTGGGTTCCGGGAGTGCCCAGGGAGCCTGCGCCGCCCGGGGGAGGGAGGCCGGGGCGCTGGGCGAGGGGGGAGCCGCTCTGCTCGGCCCGGGCGCGGCCCGCAGGGGCCTCGCGCTCGCTCTCTTGGCCGGGGGTGGCGGGCGGCGGGGCCGGGGCAGCGCTGCACGTGGCCGCCCGGGCGTGGGGAGGGGGAGCCCGGCCGGGCCGCTCGTGAGCCAGCGAGTTTGGGGTAAAGAATGTCCTGCGGGTCTGGGGACTGCGGAGAACGGACTGGAATTAAATCCTTTCTTAATTAAACTGGTTTTTTTCTTTCTTTTTTTTTTTTTAAATTTAATTTCGAGTCTCCGCTAAAGTCCGGTCGGCGGGGCCGAGCTGCGCCGCGGCCCGCGCACCACGTGGTTCCCCACGTGTGGGGCGCTGCCGGAGACCGGAGGGTCGAGGTGTCGCAACTGTTTGCTCCTGCCTCAGGCACGGATGGTGGCCTGCTCTAAATCCAAATGTGACCTATAAATGGATAGGAAAAATAGTCTGTGCCATCTGCACATCGCGGGCTGCGGGGCGGCCTTTTTATTTGAGTTCCTGTCTGGCGTGGTTCTCAAGTAACCGCTGTAGTCATTTGGGAGCCGGCATTGTCACAACGTTTATTAAACCTAATAGTGAGTTCTGATTTCCTGCGTGCACGCAACGTGACCCCATTGCCACGCAGCATTGGGCTTGCCTAGTCTGTGTTTCGTTCTTCAGTGCAGACTTGCCTAGAGTAGCAATCCTGCATCCGTCCTCAAAGGGAAGAGGTTAAATAGGTTCACTAGAGCTGTGCAGCAGTCCTGAGAGTTACAGGTTTAACCTGCCATTTCGACTAACTTTGTTAATGCCTGGGCTGGATGTTATGTTTAAAGTCTCACATGTTGCTCGTGGTGTTTTAAGTTTAAAATTTAATACAGATAGACATAAAAATTAAAGAGGAAGATGGTAAAATGTGCATATTTGTTCAGTGGGGTCTAGCACTTTCTACATTAACGAGTATGGATAGGCAGAAAGTGCCACTGAGTCACTCCTTGATGAACTTTTGTTCTCTTTTCTGTTTGTGTCAACAGACATATCTAAGAATTACTTGTCTAAGTGGAGTCATGATGTCCTTTTGGCCTGGTTTCTGTCCCCTCTTGAGTCTTGGTTAATGTTCAGCGTTTCACAGCCTGGCTGTGAAATGAATTGAGGGGTCCTAAATGGAGCGTAGGGATTAGCTTTTCACTTCGGCAGGTTTCCTTGAATATTCAAACTAGTTTATTTCAGAATTGGGCTGTTATTACCTACTGGTCAGAATACTTAATTTTGTATCTTGTTCTGCTGAGAAGAGGGAGACAGGAGCATCGCTAACTGCTGTAGCAAGTTATAGTGTGGAAGTAAATTGCTAAATACTGAGTGGCTTTGGTGACACTCATGTGTCCGGTGTTCAGGAATTTTTACAACATACTGCTTGGGAAATAAAAACTCACAGATGGTATTTCTTGTAAAATGAGTAATGCTTTGACTTCTCTTTTGAAATGAAATGCTTGCTTATGATTAGCAGGCCTTTCTGCCTCTTGAGTGCTCCAGAGGACAGCAGGGCTCTACTTCCTGTCACGTTGGGGTTGGGGTTTCATCATGCTCAGCTCTGGCTTGTCCAATTGTAAAATGAGTAATGCTTTGACTTCTCTTTTGAAATGAAATGCTTGCTTATGATTAGCAGGCCTTTCTGCCTCTTGAGTGCTCCAGAGGACAGCAGGGCTCTACTTCCTGTCACGTTGGGGTTGGGGGTTTCATCATGCTCGGCTCTGGCTTGTCTAGTTCAGGTGTGGTGCTGTGGGTTGGTCACAGCAGCCTGGGAAGGCCCTGCTGATTTCCCAACGGTGCCTCTGCTAGAGCTGCCTGGCTGGAGCAGTGGCTTTTGTCTGCTCTGTGCTTGGAAGGAGTGAAGTCGTGCTGATAGCGGCTGCAGGTGCTGTTTGTAGGTCAGAAGAAGCACTGAAGTAGAGTGAAGAGAGTTGCCCCTGTTCTGTTGGATCCTAAGGAACTGCTGGTAACCAGAACAATCCTGAGTAATCTTAGAGGTGAAGTTCAGCTTCTTTTTACTATGGGGAGCCCAAGTTAGTTGTATTTTCGTTTGTTAACAATCTTCTTTGGAGGGCATCTGGGCTAAAAGCCATATAAAATGAGAAGTGTTACAGTGGACCTTTGTAGCAGTGTTTTACATCATCAGATGGAGAAGGGCTACTAAAACAGAGCTGAGTTTTGCTGAATCTCATGCATGAAGGCTGGAGATTAATAGCACTTCTCCTGTTCTAAGAGTCTTGAATATGCATTAACTGCAAAGCCACAGAAAAACAGAGTATGAGACAGGAAACTTCTTGTGTCAGAGGTGTCTCCTGCAACTAGGAGAATCATCAAGAATCTCCCACTTTGAAGTTTAGTGCTCAAATTGCACTCAAAAACTTCAGATGTGACCTAGGAAAGTGCTGTGGTGCCACAGGGTTATTTGTCATCAGTCCCTGCTGTTTAGCAGTATGACCACCACACAGAACAAGCTCTAAAATCCATTCTTAATGTTTCAGCTTCCAGCTGCAGTTACAGAGGTTTTTAGGAGGAGTTTAGGTAAGTAACTGCCTTCTCCCTTCTCTAGAAAGGTAAGGTTTGAGGTAAGAAAGCACAGCTAGACTTGAGTTTTTGGACGAGTTTTGGGAGCTAATCCAGGAGGCAGTGCCTTGCTGTAGCTTGCAAAATTTTCCCAGTCTCAGAAATGCTACATGAGGCTGTAGTTGTGATTTGTTTTCCTTTACCTCTTTTCCTGCTGTGGTGAGGTAAAAATCTGGTTCTGGTGTGTAAGAAGGGAGGGGACGATGACACATGGACAGGCAGGACAGGCTGCTTTGTGTAACACATCTGAGCTGCCGAAAACACTGATAGCTGGGACTGAAAACCTTCCAAGAAGAGCCAGGTAGCTTTCTTACAGAAGGCTTACTTAAGGTGGCCTTGATAGATAAAAGGAGCTGCTGGAAACTTGCCTGTGATGACAAAATGGAGGGGTATTGACTAACAGAGGACTGTTTGAACTTGGGTGGTTTTTACTGTGCTCATTTTTTTCTCTTGGAAGTAATTGAAAATTGTAATGGTGTCCAGAGTGTTTAGAGGCTCTCCATTTAAGGGCTTGTCTACTGAACCAGCCTTTTCTGGATGTTGCTCCTTGAAGGTGGCTGTTGGCTTTCTCTGAAAACTGACTCATTACAGTTCACACTGCTGGGGAATTCTGTCCTGTGTTAGGCTTGTTAGGAGGCAGGCAAGTAAAGCCAGTGTGAGCTGCAGCCACCTCTCACTGGTGAACCCATTTGCAGTTCCAGATCCTTTACAGGAAGGATGCAGAAGTTTGACAGGGAAATGCCGGAGGAGAGAAATTTCAGGCAGACTGTTTGGATGTGTTTAAGGGATCTGAGGATGAAGCAGCATGCTCTGTAATACATTTGTATGGCAGCTGTAACCTTCCACTGCTGTTGAGCTCAGGGTGGGGAAAGGGGCCTCTGAACATAGAGGTGTTTAAACGAATCTCAGTCTAGAAGGATCCTTGCACAGAGACTGGTGTTTGACTTTAGATTTCTGCTTCAGTTTGTGTGATCTTTACCAATTTGCTGTATAGCAGAGGAAGAGAAACTTGAGGTTTTCCTTTTGAAGGGGCAGTTAAAAAAGAAAAACATCTGAATCAGATGTAAAACTTGTGTATGGACGTTCCTTTGGGGCAGTGAGGAGTGAGCTTTTGTCCCACCTGCAGCTGCTGACCCGGACTGGCAGAAGGACAGACTAGCTGTAGGTTGTCATTAATCTTGGTCTAAAAGCTCCCCCACTGTGTATCTGGAGCAGGTCTGGCTCACCTGTCAGACATTTGTGTTTTGGCATGTGTTAACCTGCCTGGTTCTGTGGGTGCTTCCTGTGGGGCACTGCCATCAGGTCTCAGTCCTGTCCCCTCCTGCTGGAGTCTCGGCTTCATGGTTGGGAGTGGAGTGTCTTCAGATGTGCTGCAGGTCTCTTACAGCTGGTGCCTACTATTTTGCTCTTTTTAATAGATTTTGTGTTGCCATTTGATAATGCTTTAATGTGAGGACTGTTGTAATGAAGTGAAGAATATATATATATATATATAAAATTTAGAGACCCCCATTTTGGCCCTCTTGCATATGGAAAGCAGCACCCACTCTGGTGCCTGAGCCCGGCTCCTGCCGTTGGCTGTGCCTGTGTTTTTCCTGTTCTGCAGTGTCAACACGGTTGCTATGAAAACAGGCATAAACAATGGCACAGTGAGTGCCAGCTGCTGCCAGCAGAGCGGGCCGTGCTCAGCCCTGGCTGGCCTCAGAAGGCGCTGCAAATCTTGAACACTGAAGTGAAGCAGAGAGAACACGGAGTTATATGTGAAATCAGGTGAATCTCTCTAAGTGCTCCAACAACCAATTGTTTTAACTTTGCTTAGATGTGTCTACAGTCTTCTTGCAGCTTTTCACTCCTACCCCTAATCTGGCCATCTTTCATTTTGAGGGCAAAATCCATCATCTGGTCCCGCTAGAAGTTAGTTGTGGGATTACAGAGATGACATGCTAGAGGACCTCTTGTATTTTAAATTCTCACCCATCTACTGTGGTTGGAATAACCATTTCTGTGCGGGAAGACCATCAGAAGGAGGAACTGTTTCAACGGAGGAGTGGATAAAAATCCACACTAAATTTGTGAAACATTGAGGTGCTTTGGAAATAGCTAAATGACAATTCACGTTTAGATGCACACTTTGTATTTAAGAGCTAATTCTGGTTTCTTCAAGACTCAACTTCTGGGATGTTCCTGTAATTTGGGATGCTGGAGGTCTGGGAGGAAGGGAATAATTCTGTAACGTTAATAAACTGTAGGGTTACAGGCCGATTACCTTGAAGGGGAATCAGGTAAACTGTGAAACATGCCAGATAATGATTCTACTTCTGTTGGGTAAAGAATAATGAATTGGGAGAGCGTATGTGAGGTATTTGAACTTCAGGAGACTTAATCAAAACAAAGCTTGACATGTATATTTTTAGACCAGTGTATTTTAAACTTGTCTTCAAGCATGCTTTAAAAAACACTTGAGTTTAAATGTGTAATTTCCTTGTTCTTTTTTATGTGGCTCTGGAGGTGTTGTGTGAGCGTCCTGCAGGTCAGGGGAGGTGTGGCAGTGTGAGCACAGTGCGGAACCTGCCCTGTCCACTGCAGGCTGGCTCTGCTCATGCAGTACTGATCTGCATTCCCAGTTTGGACTGTCAGAACTGCCTGTCTGGTGCTTCCAGAGCATTCTAAGGATGTTTTGTCCAGTTAGCCTTCTACATAGTTGGCAGGTGTCTGCTGTCTTAACATCTTAAAACATTTTCTTTCATGTGTACCTGGAGTGGAATATGCATCCTGAGCTATAGGTTAATTACAAGTTGTAGTTTTGCTTTTCAGAGTTAAACTGCTGTTTAGGTCATAAAAGACCTAAAGGCTTCAAATGTTAAGCTAAAGGGCTTTTGAACACTTTAGGTTTAATACTGCCTATGCTTGGCTTCCAGTCAGTACAGGTAGTAGCTGCCAGGCAAGTCCTTCAAGAGAAAGTGTAACAACTACCAGGAGGAAATAACTTGTAGAGATTAAGTTTCTGGCTTTTGAGTTCAACTCTCAGCAACAAGGAAGAAGGTGCTTTACTGAAAGGGATAATGACATTAAGGCTGCTACTACAGTAGGTAAAAGGATTTCCTTCTCTTTCCCTGAACATTTTGGAATTTCTTGAAGGGTGGCTACAAAATAATTGAAAGAAAAGTTACATAGCACATTATCTGTTCAAAGCTGTCTTACACAAAGCAAAGTGGAGGCGAACTTGTATCCTCTGCAGCGGTTTCAGTGGTCATGATCAGATGCTGTACAAGAAAGTACTGACTTGCTGCAAGTCCTGTGTGGTTTGCACTGCCTTTGCTGAGGGGCTGGGAAGCCTCTGAAGCTCTTACTTTAATGTAGCCTTTGGCTGGGGGAGCAGAAGGTGCTCAGAAATGTCTTTCTTGTTCAGACAGGTGATCTGCAGCCATGAGCAGCAACGAGTGCTTCAAGTGTGGCCGTACTGGCCACTGGGCCCGGGAGTGCCCCACTGGGATGGGCCGTGGCCGTGGCATGAGGAGCCGTGGCAGAGGTGAGTGGTGGCTGTGCTGTTCTGTTTCTTTGGACAGCAGATCTCCAGTGAGTAAACCAGGCTCTGGCAGACCCGAGTGAAGAAGCTGAGAATCTTAATTGATAATAAGAACCAGGAAAATTTGCCTCTACCTAAGAGTTTGGCCAAGGGCTCTGAGAGTGAAGCAAACTTGTCAATTCAGTTTGTGGTTGATTCTTAAAAGTATTTTGAACTTAATACTTACTCCTGGTTTTTTCTTTTACCTATTTCAAGCAGGCTTCCAGTTCATGTCTTCGTCTCTGCCGGATATCTGTTACCGCTGCGGTGAGTCTGGCCATCTTGCCAAGGACTGTGACCTTCAGGAGGATGGTAAGTATCACTAAATATTCCATCTCTTCAGTGCCACAGGCAGAGCTCTGTGGCTGAAGAGAAGGATGATGGGCTTCCCTGGGAACGAGCTGGGCATGTGCCCTGTTCACAGCACGCTGCCCCTCGCGCTACCGAGGTTTTATAGTCTTGTTTGGTATGTTTTTCTTATTGTGGAAGCCTGCTATAACTGCGGTAGAGGTGGCCACATTGCGAAGGACTGCAAGGAGCCCAAGAGGGAGAGGGAGCAGTGCTGCTACAACTGTGGCAAGCCCGGCCACCTGGCCCGCGACTGCGACCACGCAGACGAGCAGAAGTGCTATTCTTGTGGAGAGTTTGGGCACATTCAGAAAGACTGCACCAAAGTGAAATGCTATAGGTAAGGACTGACGGGAGGCAGCTGAGAGATGCACCTCTTGTGCTGGGTGTATTCTGTGTCTGGTTTTGGTTAGGAAATACAGTTTGTTTGAACAGTTACCCACTGTTGTTCAGAACTAAGGCTTAAACACTCACTAGCAAGGTGGAGTAGAGATTCTGTGGAGTATCTCTAGATGGCCACCCAGTGCAGGTGTTCGGTCAGTTGAGCTGTGCAGAAAGGGTCGTATCCTTTTGCAGAAGATAGCAGGAGGTACTTGGCTGTAGCAGAGGTAGGCACCATGTGTCTTCTGCCAGAGCTAACAAACCCCAGCTGCACTGCCCAGCTGACTGGCACAGCCAGCCCCTGCAGGAACACACTGAAGATGCTTTGCTTATGGGAACAGTGAATAGAAGTGGGTGTTAAATTGGTTTGAAATGCCATCTTCAGAGCGTTGTCTGGTTTTGAATGCAGGCATATACCAGAAACAGCACGTTCCTGAGAGCAGGATTCTTCACCCCCACCAACATTCCCTTCTGTGGAGGAAGGAGAGAGAACATGGTGTATTTGAGTTAAAACTAATTATTCTCAAAACAAGGCTAAACTGCAATAATAAGATTGGGAACGGGCAAAACGCAGGACACAATTGAAAGAAGCCCTGCAAACACACAAAGCTGATGAACCATGGTTCTGGCATATACAGTGATTAATGTGAGTTGATCATTTGGGGGCAGTTCGTGGCTCTGAAGACAAACTTGCTTCATGTCAGAGAATTCTGCGACAGAAGCCTTGAGTGCAGAATTAGCATTGCATGAAAATGAAATAGACAATGTCCTGGTCAGAGTAGGATTGCTCCTGTGAGTGTTGTGGCTGTTCTGACAGAAGCTTTCCTTTTGCAGGTGTGGTGAAACTGGCCATGTAGCCATCAACTGCAGCAAGACCAGCGAAGTCAACTGCTACCGCTGCGGCGAGTCAGGGCACCTTGCACGGGAATGCACAATTGAAGCTACAGCCTAATTATTTTCCTTTGTCGCCCCTCCTTTTTCTGATTGATGGTTGTATTATTTTTCTCTGAATCCTCTTCACTGGCCAAAGGTTGGCAGATAGAGGCTACTCCCAGGCCAGTGAGCTTTACTTGCCGTGTAAAAGGAGGAAAGGGGTGGAAAAATCAACTTTCTGCATTTAACTACAAAAATGTTTATGTTTAGTTTGGTAGAGGTGTTATGTATAATGCTTTGTTAAAGAACCCCCTTTCCGTGCCACTGGTGAATAGGGATTGATGAGTGGGAAGAGTTGAGTCAGACCAGCAAAAACCCTCTCTGGGTTACAGGGAAGTGATCCTATGCAGGAGGAATGAAATTCTGGAAGTGTCTAAACTTCCTCATAACTTTTATTTTATTACAATGGCCTTGGATTGTCTGACCTCAGTAGCTGTTAACACCAAGTGATATCTGCATCAGGCCCTACCTAGAGCATATAGCTGAGTGGGAGTAAACAAACAAGATGCACATGCCTGTTAATGGCCATGAGAGAGAGAGAGAAATCTAAAAGTAACAGTAATTCAGTCAGTGAATGTTAATGTTGGAGATACAGAACGCAATGGGAAGCTTTTGAATAAATATCTCAAAGTCAATCTGAAACCCAGACATCAGTGCTCATAGCATAAACAATTTGGAGCTATTCAGGAGTTGCAAATAAATGCATTTTCACAGAAATCAAGATGTTATTTTTGTATACTATATCACTTAGACAACTGAGTTTCATTTGCTTGTAATCGGTTTTTAAAGTAAGATGGTAAGAGCAATTGAAGTCCTAGAACATAGAAAATGTAATTTTAAACTATCAATAAAGCTGGAGGAGGAAGGGGAGTTTGGCTAAAGTTCCTTTTGTTTATTTTTGGTTTTCCTGTACACAGTGCAAAACAACATATTAAAAGGGGTATGTGGAGGTTCAGCTTGGCCTTTTCTTTTCTCCTGTCTCATGTCAAGGTCCTGTCCGCACACGTTCGTGGGAGTGGGGGCTGGGTGGGGGGCTGATTGCATCTGTGCTGGTGCACTTCAAGCATGTAGTGGAAAAACCATTAAAGGAGGATGTTGCTGGAGGTGCAGAGAGTTCCAGACTCTGAGTAGGTCAGAGCAGTGCTGGAGCTGTCACAGTGGCACTGAGAACCTAAGCCACCTGCACTTGCCCTGTCCCTTGGAGGCTGTGCTGGTTCACTGGGGCTCGGTGACCAGCTGAGAGGGAAGCTGATGAAGAGAGGATCTTCACATGCACTCGGTAAATAAAGTCTTGGTGTGCAGGAACTCTTGGCTGACCAGTGCTTCACCCTAAGGCCACTGGAGAAGGGGTGTGCTAACACCTGGTGTGAACACTGGGCTTGGCCCGGAGTGCCCCTGAGCTGCTGGCGGTGCTCCAGCTCGGGCACATCCTGTGGAATCTGAGTTGGGGCAGGGCTGGTGTGCTGGACTCGTGTTTGAATTGTCACTCGGAAGGTTTTCCTTTCCAGTGCCAAAGGCTGTGGGTGCTGTGGAGTCTGTCCCTACAGGAGCAGTGCCAGACTGGCATCTGCAGCTGTGCTGGAGACAGCTGAATTGGCACAGGCACTTCTTTCTCTTTATCATTGCGGTTACTGTCAGGGTAACATTCCTGGTAATGTAGGAAGCAGGGATGAAATGGCTGGGTTCTCCTGGGGTAGTGCAGATGCACAGCACGTGGTGGTTCAGCCTGCTAGGTTGGGACAAATTAAGTCTTTGCACACAATTACCTTAGTTAAACAGCAGTAAAGTCTGGACCTCTCTGATTACAAAGACTTGGAAGTCTTTGGGACTTAAATGACAACTACAAAGTGGTGTTTTCCTCTAGAAATCTATATTTTTATACAAAAAAAACCCCAAGATTTAAAAGCTGAGGAACACAAAGCAGGCTGTAAGTTCCAGAAATAGAAAATTACTTCAAAAGGAGATGTCTCTTCCTTCGTCATCTTCCTGTGAGAACATTGGTGCTGCAGTTCAGTCAGTTTGCCCCAAGTTAACACGAGCTGGACATGCAAGTGGTGATTTCGTACATTGTGGGACATGGGAAAAATAAATTCTTTGTATGTTCCATGTTGATATTTTTCACTAATACTGAGATATCTCCTTATGTGTTACGGCAAACTTATGAAGTGGTTACAGAGAATGACTGTTCATCGGCAACTGAGTGACCGGACACGGGGCAATGGGTACAAACGGAAGGAAGGGAAATTCAGATCGGGTATTGGAAGGAACTTCTTTACGTGTAAGGGTGGGGAGGCCCCTGGCTCCCTGGCAGTGTCCCAGGCCAGGCTGGACGGGACTGGGAGCAGCCCGGGACAGCCGTGCCGTGGCAGGGGTGGCACTGCAGTGTCCCCAAGGTCGCCCCGCTCCCGAGCCCTCCCTGCTCATCCCAGCGGGGCCCCGCCAACACCAGCAGCGCGCATGCGCCGCGCGGGGTCACCGAATGCTGCGCGAGCGGAGCGCGCAGGCGCACTGGGGAGCGGGGCCGGGTTCTGTTCCGGCGTGTGGGACTGCAGCGAGCGCGGCGCGTTCGGCGGGACTGAGGGCACGGCGGGAGCTGAGGGCACGGCGGGACCATGGTGAGTGCGGGGCTGAGGGCACGGCGGGACCATGGTGAGTGCGGGGCCGGGACTGAGGGCACGGCGGGACCATGGTGAGTGCGGGGCCGGGACTGAGGGCACGGCTCCAGCCATGGAGGGACCATGGTGGCTGAGGGGCCGCTCGGCGCTCGTCCCCTGGTGCCGCTGCCCGGCGAGGGGCTCGGAGGGGACCGGCCGCAGGCCGGGAGCGCTGGAGGCGAGGAGCCAGGCGGGGCCGGGGGTGCCTGAGGCCGCTCTGTTTGTGTCTTGCAGGCTCGCAACGCGGAGAAGGCCATGTGAGTGCGGCGGGGGCACCGCTGAGCCCGGGCTCACCTCAGCTGAGGCTGCTGCCGGAGCTGGTCTCACACATCCGTGGCTGCTGGCCCTGACTGTACCTGACCTCACACACCTGTGCCTGCTGGCCCATAGAACACACATCTGTACTGGCTGGCCCACAGAACTCGCTGTTCAGCCTCTTTTAAAGGACCAACAGTTTAATGATATTTTGGGGTACTCAGTTGTGCGTGTGCTGGCCCAGAGGCAGTGGGAGTTGGAGGGCCCCTGCACACACGTACCTGGTGCTGTGCAGCTCCTGTAGCTGTGCTGGGTGGTTCTGTGCAGGAGAGACCCTGTAGCAGTGTGCTTGTGCCCCTGCAGTCTGGGGGATGTGTACACTGAAACGTGTTGTAAAGGACCCTTGTGGTTTTAGGCAGTTCCCATTTCGGGAACAGAGATGCCAGGCCAGATAGGAGAAATCAGTCAGCATTGCTCTACTTGAGAAATGAACCACTGAGGATTTTGAGTGTTGAGAAGTCATTAGCTGGATGAGCTGGAGGTGGTCAGTGAATGTGTTCAGGCCTTTGTTTTCTACAGACTGTAATTGAGTCCATAATAAATATCCAGAACAAAACTTGTTCCTGTTGGACTGTGGATTTTTGAAATTAAATCTGCTTTCTTCTCTTTAGGACGGCCTTGGCAAGATTTCGGCAAGCCCAGCTTGAGGAAGGAAAAGTCAAGGTGAGGTGTAAAAGCCCTGGAGGTTTGGTAGCTCAAGGGAGGCCTTGTTCAGAGCCCACGTGTCCTGTGCTTGACTCCAGTTGGAAGGAAAATATTTCTGCTGACTGTATATCACACACAGCCAGGAAAACTCTCCACTGGAGTTTCCAAACCTTTTTTACTTCTCTGTTTCATATTGCATATTATGCAGAGAAAGGGGTTTTAATACCTTTTAATAAAAGGTGGAGCTTTTAGTAAAAAGGTAGAGCCTTGTAGTAAAAGGTAAAACTGTGGGGAAAGGGACAAAATAACTGCACACAAAACCCTAAAAACAAGATGATGCATTAGTTTGTGTAAGCAAGCTAATGGAATGAAAAGAAGGTACTTTGTATAAACTGGAAAAAATTACATAGTTTAGTAGTAGCAGTTGAGAAAAGCTTAGCCTTAAGAAGGTGGTGTGTGCTGGAAATGGGGAACTGTCCTGAATGGAACATTTGTTATATTGGAGAGGATTATGGAGTGAGAGATTTTGGATTGGATAAAATGGATTTAAGTAGGTTTTTGTAGTCTGTGACAGTTTAATTTGTCAGGGCTGTAACTCATTATTGTTCATCATTTACTAGAAATCCATGGGAGCAGAAGGCCCTGGAGCTTGGTAGCATAATTTGGCGTTAATGGAGCAGTAAAGCCTGTGTGAAATGCAGTGTGTCAGTGCTCTGTGTGTCGGTGCTCAGCTGGATTTGATGTGTGTGGTTTTCTGTCCAACAGGAGCGAAGGCCCTTCCTTGCATCAGAGTGTAATGAGCTACCCAAAGCTGAGAAATGGAGGAGACAGGTAACGGCGACCCGTGGATTTTCTAATTCTATAGGAAGCAGAACTTTACACTTCCTGCTTAGACAGCCTGCTTACAGGGGGTTTCCCCCACTTGTCAGTACCCTGACAGTGAAATCACAGAACATTTTCTAAGATTGTACAGCTCAGTGTTCAGAGTAGCTCCTACCATGTCAGGTTGCTGCAAGGCCATGTCCTGCTGAGTCTTTCATATCTTCAGGGATTTGGATTCCAGGTTTTTGGGGCTGCTGTTCCAGTGTTTGATTATCTTCCTAATGATTTATTTCCCCTTGAAATTAATCAGAATTTCTCCAGTTTCAACTTGTGTTTCATTGCTACTTGTCCTATTGCCATGCATTTCTCAGACAATCTGGCTCTGTCTCCTTTGTTCCCTCCACTGATGTAGAAATTAATTTCTATGTTCTTATTTGACTAGATCATTGGGGAGATTTCCAAGAAAGTGGCACAGATCCAAAATGGTAAGGTTTTCCTAACTATGTTTTATTTTTTGAATATCCAGTCATAAGCAATTACAGTGAAAATCCCATTTCATGTGAACTATGGTGTTTCCATTGCATATATTCTGAAATTCCTCTGGTGTCTCTGAGCTGCCTGATTTATTGTTTTTTTTTCCTCTCTAACAGCTGGATTGGGTGAATTCAGAATTCGGGACCTGAATGATGAAATAAACAAACTTCTGAGGGAGAAAGGACACTGGGAATACCGAATAAAGGAGCTGGGAGGCCCAGATTATGCTGTAAGTGTGGAATGTGTTGTACTGCATGGTGGTTCTGCTTACAAGTGAAGTAACTGCAGGGAAAAATACATCACATTTAGTTAGCCTTGGATGGCTTGGCCAGAGTTATTTTTATTCAGCCCCTAAAATGTTTGGCTGTGTTAGAAGAAAGTTTTAAACTGTGAACTCTGTTTATTTTTCAGAGGATTGGCCCGAAAATGTTAGATCATGAAGGGAAAGAGGTTCCAGGAAACAGAGGCTACAAATACTTTGGAGCTGCAAAGGATTTGCCAGGAGTTAGAGAGCTTTTTGAAAAGGAACGTAAGTAAAGAGCAGCTCTTCTTAGACATGAACCTGTGCAGTAGAATATCTTGAGTAAAACGCTGTTGTAGTTTGTGGGGAGTGCTGGTAACAGCATTTCTGAAAGTCTTAGGTCAGCTCAGTGAAACACTGAGCACAGATAATTAATTAAATGCTAAGAACACCTTTGGCTTTTTGCAATTAAGGAAATACAGTAGAGAGTAAACTGGTTTCTACTGGGAATTCCAAATGGTAAGGACTGATGGCCTATAGGAACTTTCTGGCATAAGAGCAAACTTTATTGAGAAGTTGTAAATGTTACTCAGAGTTCGGGACTAGAAAAAAGGAAAGTTGGTTTGAACATAATTTTAGAAGCAGGAATGAGTTTTCATAATGAAAAACTGGATGTAAGGGGATTTGTCATGGAATGAGTGGAAATTGTTTGTGCCTGAAAGTGAGGCAAAGACAAATTATGGGAAGTACTCCAGGGTGTGGGGGAACCATTGGGTCATGTACTGGAACTGGTTTGTGCAGGCCAGAGGGTGACACCGATGCTCCCCGTGCTGGCAGCAGCTCCATCATGCTGGGTGTTGGCTGCACGAGGCAGCTGTGGGTGCTGTGAGGCTGGGGACAAGCTGGGGACACTCAGCAGGTGATGGAGGTGACCTGTGGGTGACAGTGGTGTTTTTGCAGCCCTGCCACCCCCACGGAAGACTCGGGCTGAGCTTATGAAGGACATCGATGCCGAGTACTATGGCTACAGGGATGAAGATGATGGGATTCTGGAGCCCCTGGAGCAGGAGCATGAGAAGAAAGGTATGCGAGATTCCAAACCTGCACAGAGCAGCCCAGGAAAGGGAGGTGATGGACTCTGAAGTTAAGGCACCTTTTTTAACTGATGTAGAGGATTTAGGCAAGAAGTTTAGGTCCATTGGAAGAGCTCTGGCAATAAGACCGTGCTGCTCTGACTGGCTTTCAGCCACACTTGCCATTTTCCTTTGCTCCCCAGTTATAGCAGAAGCAGTGGAAAAATGGAAGATGGAGAGAGAAGCACGACTTGCAAGAGGCGAGGAGGAAGAGGAAGAAAACATCTATGCTGTCCACGAGGAAGAGGTAGGGGGTAGCTCAGGTGATGTGACTTTTCATGTGTCTTCTGTGCTTCCCTCTTGGACATGGCATTACTCTGCCAAGGACCTGTCTGCTGCTGTCCTGGCCCTCTCCCCACCTGGCCCACTACACAGTTTAGTAAGAATCAGTAGCAGGGGAGTGCTCCTGGCCCAAGCTTAGGGAGTGCTGGAGGCTGGCAGGCGAGGACAGACCTTTCACTGGAGTGAGAAACACCTTGCTGTGATTTCAGTGGCACTGTTTTTGTCAGGTGGTGTGTTGGTAACACTGCTCAGTCTGGCTCCTGAGCATAACCTGCCTCAGTAACAGCACAAGCAGCTTTGGGGACAGGATAATGTCACGCTGCCACTGTGTGAAAACCCAAGGGGTGCAGGGCCTTGTTTACACTTGGATCATGATGCAGCAGGGCTTTGCTGGCGCTGCTGTCACTGCTGTGGCATGGCTGTTTCTTCTCCCTGCTCCCAGTGAGACCTAGAGAAGGGTACTAGAAACAAGTTCTCATTTCTCTGTCTGTGTCTAAGTGGGTTAAGCACAAGAATAAAAAGGGGAATCCATCAGATGGATCTGGTGGCTCCTCCAGTACCTATTTTATTTGTATGATCCCATGGTTCATGAGCCCAGCTCTTTGGTGTGGGACCAAAGCAGTACAGAGCTGTACAGGGAAGTGCTATCCATATATTTAAAGCACTTGCTGTCTTCTTGTTTAGCTGGCTCCTCTTCTGTTCACAGCTTTGCTGTGGCAGCCAGAGTTATGGAAGGGGAGGAAATAAACTTTACATTCATGGCCATGCCACAGCAGAGCAAAGGCCATATGAGAAATGGAAGCAGTAATGCTGAAAATGTCCAAGAGCAGGGTCTGCATGTGATCTTTGTGTTTGGTGCTGGGTCCTGTTCACTCATTGCTGTGTTTGTAGTTTTGACCATGCTTTGTTCCTTCTGGCAAAACAAATAAAAAAGGGGTTTTTATGACCTCTATAGAAAATAAACTTGATCTGATTTTTTTGCTTTTCAGTCTGATGAGGAAGGTGGCAAGGAGAGAGAAGGTGAAGACGGCCAACAGAAATTTATTGCACATGTTCCAGTGCCAACTCAACAGGAGGTAGGGCAGAACAGCACTCAGCTGCAGAGATACACACTGGCTTTTGCAAGACAAATCTTCATTTACATCAGGTCATCAGTAAAAGTGCCCTAAACTTGTGATTTCTGTGGCTTTGCAGCTGTTTAATCCCCTTGCAAATCTGTAACACTCTTCACCTGTGAATTTCCAAAACCTCCCTAAGGATTCCATAAATTAGCAAGTGTTGTGGTATAGCTGAGCAGCTGAGTTTTCAGCATCTCAACTGAGCTGAATCCACCCTGTTTTTATCCCTGCAGATTGAGGAAGCTCTTGTACGAAGAAAGAAGATGGAGCTGCTCCAGAAGTACGCCAGTGAAACCCTCCTGGCACAGAGCGAGGAGGCAAAGACACTGCTAGGATTGTAACAGGCACCAGTGTCCTGGTTTGTGTGTAATCCCTCTGAAAGCAGCAGGTTCCTAAGTTCTGGTAGCAATGGCTTTTAGCTCTGGAAGTTCCTTCGGATGTGGAGCAGACTGCTGGAATTAGTGTGGTGTGCAGGAGAACCATCATTCTGATTTCTCCACTAGGAGGACTTGTGCTCCAGCGCTGGAAAGGGCCAAACCTTGGTGAACTTGTCTGTGCATCTGACAGCTGTCTTCAATGCTTTCCGTTTGGGAAAGGCTCTGTGCAGTGGGGCCTCCTACAGATAGAACCACACGCAGTGAGCTCCTAAATCCCTGGTGTTCCTGCCATCCTGTCTGCTCTGTCCTGACTGTAGGTGTGCACATCTTCTCATGCTGGGTATTGTTGAGCTGAGAAGTAACTCACACTATTACACCTGCTTAGTTTACCAGAATAATCTGGAACCTGTCTAGAGGTGCCTTGAAGGCAGATCTTAGGAGTGACTTTGGAGATTTGATTCTTTGTAAAACACATGCAACGTCTAAAACCTGTTACCTTTTTTGTGGTTTGTAACTGTGCCCGGATGAATTGCTTAAATGCTGGATATTCCAGCAGCTACTGTAAAAAACTTTGCAATACCTTGTTCAAATATTTTTATTAAAACTTATTTACAAGCTGGTGTCTGTTTTATTCTAGCTCAAAGGACTGTGATGATTCCCTAGTGGTAGCCAAAGACTGGGATCATAGACAGCCATCCCTGTAGGAATTTGATGCTCTGCATCCCCTACTGCTCTTGGCTTGTGAATCCTGGGACAGGAGGCAAGGTAGAGCCTGGTCAAAGTCTTATGGATGACTAATACTGTTGTACAGCTCTGAAAGAATGGCATTTGAAGGTGGACATCTGCAGCCCTGGAGAATTTCTGTCTAAGGAACGCAGTATTGAACAGCCAAGTCTGGGACTGTTCAGCATTTCCAGATGCTCTCAGTATTTACCTATTGCAGTCTGTTGTGAATAAGCCACTCCAGAACAATCAAAGCTCTAAATTATAGAGACAAGCTTTGTGTTACTCGATGAAGTGATCAAACAAAAAAAAAAAAATAGAATTGAAAAAGTGGAAAGCATAGCTGCCAAATTAAAACCTAAAAAAAAAATACAGAATAAATTAAAAGCTCAATTACTGGTAGCAAGCAGACAGCTAACATCTCAAACACATTCTTCTCTCTTCTGGCAGCAGTGCAGCTTTCTCTGCATTGTAAGAAAGCAGCAAACAATGTCTTTATGGCTTATAATAATTTGTTCTAGATTTGCTTAAATATACTGGAGATAACCAAACTAGATTTAAGCAGGGAAAAACCAGCTAATTCTTATGGCCTGATACAGTCTGAGGGCTTGCTAATACAATGGTAGATCCCTTCTGTCACTGTATGAATCTGTAAGACACACAAGGGTAAAGGCAGATCAGGGACAGAGTGATCATAACACAAATACAAAAGAAGAATAAATGGAAAGAATGGAAAAAACCCAACAGGATTGTAATTACATTCATGTTCAAAGGAGTATGACCAACATCATGGTGTAAAAGGCAAGTTTATAAGACAGGGCTGGTCTCTGCCAACCCACCCAGAAAAGGAATAAATGCACAGAACTGCAGTGTGTAACTGCAAGGCAGACTGGCTGCTGCCGGGCCCTGCTGTGCCAGGTCCTCTCGCTGTAGCTGTGAGTGTGGAGCATTTTTGAGCTGAGTGCTCTTGGCTGCATCTGAGGGAACAAATTGCAGAGCAATTATTTCCCACAGTGGCCTACAGCAAAATCCTGTGTCCTGCCAGGCTGCGGAATTGCTGGTGGAGTCAGGGTGGGGAAGCTGCTGTGGTCACAGCCGGGAAATGGATCCTGTTTGTCCTGGAGAATGGAGCAGTGGGCAGGCTCTGCCTCAGCTCTGAGTGCAGCTGTGCTGGGATGTGTTGTGGTGCCAGGCTTACGGCTCATTCCATCTCGGGAATGCCTCAGCCCTGAACACATCCAGCTTATAAAGCAAGTACTTTATGTATTCTTCTGCCCTGTGTGTGATCCTGGCTTGAGCAAGGGGATAAACTCTCTAATTGTTCTGTCTGCTGCATCGATTTGGGCCTGCTCTTGTCTCTTAGAAATGAATTTGTATGTTTCATTTAATGCCAGCCACGTCAGTGGTGCAGATGGAAGGCCATCTTCCTTGTTCTGTGTCCTGGTGAGTGCAGGGCAGTCGCTGAAGGATCAGTTTCTCCTCGCAGTCACAGAGGGCTGAGGAATATTTATTGGCAGCACTGGGAAATAAGTGGATTTACCCAATCTGCATTAACAGATGAGCAAGATAAACAGAGACAGCTTTGCAGAGTATCCATTAACTAACGACATTTTGTGCTGCTTGTCTCAGTTTCAAGTCTAGCTGCAGGGGTGCAGAGCTGAGGGACTGTAGTGTTTGTGCGTGTTACGCTTTTTCCCAAAAAATGAATCACAGAATGGGTGAGTCTGGAAGGGACCACTGTGGGGCATCTGCTCCAACGTCCCTGCTCCAGCAGGGCCATCCCAGACCACAGGGCACAGGATTTGTCCAGACACTTCTGGGGTAGCTCCAGTGAGACAGCTCCACACCCTCTCAGGACAATCTGTTCCAGTGCTCAGTTACTGCACAGGGAAGAAGTTCTTCCTGGGCATCAGTTCCTGCCCGTTCCTCGTGTCCAAATGGTTGGCACCACCAAGCAGAGCCTGCTCCATCTTCTTGGTTTCCCCTCTCAGGCCGGACATGCCCAGCTCCCTCAGCCTTTCCTCGGAAGAGAGATGCCCCAGTCCCTTCATCCCTTGGCCGGGCAGAAGCAGACAAAATGTTTCTTCCGATCTGTTACTAAACTGAGCACTAGTTATCTCCTCGCTCGGAATGTTGTACTCGCTGCTCTTCGCGCTGCTGCCGGCCGCGGTGCGCCGGGGGGCCGAGCCCGGGGGCGCGGCGGCGGCGCGGGGCCGGCCGGGCGCGGAGCCCCCCAAGGCGCGGAAGATGTGGCAGGGCGCTCCCCCGGCGGCCCGGGGCTGACGCTGGCCCGTGACGCGAGTGACGCTGCCCGTGAGCTCACGGCCGGCCGGGCGGGGCGGTTGCCGGCCCCGCACTCCGCTCGCCATGCGCCGGGCGCTGCCGCCGCTCCGCGCCCTGCTCGGGGCCGCCCGCCCGCCGCGGCTCCCGGCGCCCCGGGGGATGTGCGGCCCCTTGGCCGGGCGGAGCGGGCACAGCGCGGTGAGCGGGGCCGGGGCCCGGGGCGGGCGGGCCGGGGAACAGCGAAAGCGAAACGGGCGGGGGAGCGGCGGAGCGCAGCCGGGCCACCCGCCGTGCCCGGGGCCGGGGATGCCCGGGGACAACCTCGCTTCCCCGGGACGCCAGGACGGATTCCCGAGCACTGCCGGCCGCAGCTCCTGTCCTGGGGCTGCGTGTGCTCTGGTCTTACAGAACTAACGAGGGAAACTCGTTCCGACCACTGCCGGCTCTGTCCCTTTGATTGTGCGGCGCGGCACAGCACTCCTGTCACCAACAGTTTCTTTAGGGTCAAAAGGGAAACAAAGCTGTTGGCATCATTACCTCTATCTATCTGTCATGATATCTATCATATATGTTCATCATCATATCTATCATATATAGATATCTATCATATATATCTATATATATGTTCAGTTCTTTCCTTAATGCTTGTCCCTCCTTTAATACTTTCTTTTTCTTCCTGCTAGTGTTACTCACTGTAAAACTCCCATTTGTAATCTGTTATCTATATATCTGTTCTTTATATGTCGCAAAATTAACGTAAAGGATCGCATCTGCTACAAAATTATTCCAATACCACTGTAGTTTCAGTAGTTTCATGTACCCATTCGCAAAGCCTGGGAAAACTGTTAGACATTTATTAGCAAGCTTTTGGCAGCATCTCTGCAGCAGCTGGGTTATTTCTGATGTAGCTTTCCTGAAACGGGCGCAGGCTGTGTGCAGACAATGACTTCAGAGGTTTTGTTCTCAAAAGGGTGATGATTCTACAGAGGAGAAAGGACAAGGCTTCAGGGGCAGTTCTTGCATGTAAAGACAAAAACCTAGCCTCATTTAAATGAATGGGAATGCAATATATTTACAGTTTTGACGTTACTAACTCGGGCTGCCTAGGGGTGTGGATTTCCCCTGTTGTTTGAGCTGCATCCCCATTCCCAGCAGTGCCTGGCCCTGTGCTGTGCTCGGCTGCAGGAAAAATGTGGTGGGTGAATAACTGATGTGGAACAAAGTGCTGTGTGAGTAGGCAAAGTGCCCTTCTCCTCCTGCCCAGGAGACACGGTGGCTGCGGGCGCGTGCCCTGAGACAGCTCCGCTAGCAAAGGCTGTCCCACCTGTCAGGGCTGCAGTCCTTCCTGTGCCTGTTCCCCCATCGCGCTCAGCCTCGGCCCCTAACCCCTCCCTTTCCATCACTGACAATAAATCCCAAGGTTCCGGGTTCCTGCTTTAGGCTCGGCAGAGAAATGAGCTTTAGATGACAGGTTTTGTTCCGTGCTTTTCCAGCCTGATTCATTGCTCAGCAGTCCTCTCCCTGTCTCTGCTCATCCTTCCTCACTCTCCTTGCCGGGGCTCACCAGGTCCAGCTCCCCGCTGCCTCAAAGGCAGCAAGGAGATACATTTTAGTAACTCGAGCAGCACCTTGGTGTAAGGAGGTGCTGACTTTCCCAATTAGCCTGCCCTATGTGAAACTAGGACTGAAGCCATTGTAGGAGCACAGCAGTCACTTGGCTGTAATCAAACTCCTGTGGAACAGAACAGTTTTACTACAAAAACCTTGTAAGGAAGCAGCCAAGTACAATAGTTGTGTTCAAGACCTGCCTACTGCTGAAAAATTTACTTTAGCATATTTTGTTAATATTCTGTGTGGGTCAAGCCATTAAGATGTGACTCACTGGCACAGCAGCATGTATTTTGTACCTCTTGGCATCAGTTTAAGTTAATTTTTCCCTATCTTCTGAAATAGTCTGGAACTATTTGTGAGGCAAAATAGCTCTCATGAGTCTGTATGCATAAGGCAGAGGGAGTTGTGGTGCCCCTTGTGTCAGCATGTATTTAGCATGAAGATGTGCCTATAAGGCACATTAAGATGTGCAGGGTTGTAGATCCCCTGCTCTCACTGGAGGTGTCTGTTCTCAGGGTGTTGTAGCTGCTGTAAACTCTATTAAATATGTGTAAGGACAGGCAGGGTGCTGTAGCTGCTGTAAACACCATTAAATATGTGTAAGGACAGGCAGGGTGCTGTAGCTGCTGTAAACTCCATTAAATATGTGTAAGGACAGGCAGGGTGCTGTAGCTGCTGTAAACTCCATTAAATATGTGTAAGGACAGGCAGGGTGCTGTAGCCCTTTGATTTCATACCTCCTCTGTGTAAGGACAGGCAGGGTGCTGTAGCTGCTGTAAACTCCATTAAATATGTGTAAGGACAGGCAGGGTGATGTAGCTGCTGTAAACTCCATTAAATATGTGTAAGGACAGGCAGGGTGCTGTAGCTGCTGTAAACTCCATTAAATATGTGTAAGGACAGGCAGGGTGCTGTAGCTGCTGTAAACTCCATTAAATATGTGTAAGGACAGGCAGGGTGCTGTAGCTGCTGTAAACTCCATTAAATATGTGTAAGGA